TTGTTTGAGTTGAGAGAGAGAGAGAGATTTTTAGAGTTGTTGTTTGGTTTTTTTTAGTTGTGCCCTTGTTTGTGCCCTTGGCACCGTGGAGTGCTGGGGGGGGCGACAGGGAGGATGTGGCCCTGAGTTATGTGTACGCCGACTCAGAGTGTGTGGCAGCCAGATGGCTGTGTGTCTTGTGAGCCTGTTTGTGTCTGTGTGTCGCTCGTGCGTGTCGTCATCATCTGTCCAGCGTCCACCCATACCGCGTTGGTGTCCAGTCCGAGCCTGGCTGTTCTTCACCTTTCTACCTACCTACCTACGCTCTCACGTTGCAAGGGACAATCTGCAACAGTGCAGTGTGGAGTTCAGGCCGGGGCCCGAGCCCCTAGCGCCTAGGGCGACAAGACATGCGCAGAGGGAGGTGAAACGCGGTGGGGGGCCGTCGAAGACGAAAGAGAATGACGCTGAGAGTATCTCCGCAGAGCCCGAAGTCTCGCAGCGATCCCGGATCAAGGGTTGGCACGAGCGTAACCACCCCTGAAGTGGGGCAGTTAACACGATGGCCTGCTGACTGAGCCGTGTTATGGCGATGTGCTGCACCCTCCACCGTGAAGAGAAAGAGAGAGGATAGGGAACAAGAACACACAACAAACTCTCTCACATGACAAGCGATCCCACGACAGCGAGTGTGGGGACTACATGATCGATGAAAACGTGTTGCAAGCTGGCCATAGACCGCTAAAAAGAAAAAAATTTCCCGCCGCCTAGCCCGCCACCCCCGGCTTCGCTAGATCTAACTTCTGCGGGCCGGCTGGCGAGAGCATGTCGCGGCCACGGTTGCTCCCATTGGCTGCTCTCGCCGCCTCAACGGTCGCCGTGCTGGCCATGCCAATGTCGCGCCGACTCTTGCGTGCGCTCTCACCGGTGCGCTTCCGGTCGCTTGTGATCGCCTTGACGTCGTCGCAACCCGCCGCAGCAGCGCGGTTTGTCGAGCTCTCGCCTGTGCTACGGCACCCGGTGCAAATGCCGGCGAGCGGCGTGTATCACGCCAGCGACGCGCTGGGAGCGCTGTGGAAGTGGATGGTCGCGGCGCCTCTCGGCGAGCGCGAGGCGAAGCTGATGGCGGCGTGCAAGAGGCACTGGCCCGGCTTGGACCGCGACTACGTCAAGGCCGAGATCGGCGTGTGCATCGCCGACGGGCGCGCTGCCGCGCTAGCGGACGCGCTGCACGCCACGGCGCTCGCCAGGATCGACAAGCTCGGCCCGAGGCTGCCAAGTCACCGCAGACAAGTCCTGACCGCAGAGGCGGCGGAGGCGAGCCGCGAGCTGCAGAGCACGCTCGCGGCGGTGCGCGCGCGGTGCGCGGAACACCCGACCGGCGGCCCGCTGCTCTTCGCGCTGGCCTCGCACATCCGCGCCGCGCCGCCGGAGCTGCTCCGCGAGCCGTCGCCGGCGGGGCAGCGGCGCGGCGCGGAGCATGAGCAGGAGGCCTGCAGCTGGGCGCGCGGGCGGTGGCCGCGCTGCGAGGTGCTCGCCAACTGTGCGGTCG